GTCTCCACAATCAGTCACAGACACAGAATTAACATTATTTTGAGGGATATCATTCACATCATTCTCAACAACAACATTTTCGGAAATGACAGCATTTTCCAAGTTTGCCATTTTTGGATTTTCCAAAACACGAGAAAAAATATCTTTCTTCAAGATTGTTAGAAAATTGATATTAAAAGTGCGAGTTTGACCAGATAAAAATCCCGAGTTTCAATAAATCACCAGGCAAACCGCCAAATGCAAGAAAATAAAATAAAAATAAAAATAATATAATTAGAATAAAAGGAAAAATAATAAAGAGAAAAGATAAGAAAGACTTATCGCAGGATCGCCCGTTAAAACGGACAGGCCTTGAAGAAAGATAGCCCCCAGTATCCCGATAGCTATTCGGACGGGTCTGACTAGCTCGCTCTCAGGATAATCCTACCACGTTTCAGACTTGTAGCTACCTTGACTGAAACCTTCGACCGTTGCCAAATTTTGCCGAGTAATAGAGATGACTTGAACAACTTAAATTATAGTCTCAAGCTATATTTTTTTTCGAAAAGGAAAAGAAGCTACGTATGATAACTCATTCAAATAAAGGAAAAGATTGGTTGGTATCGTGAGTGTGCAGAGAGTGGGAATTTACGTTGTTTTTCTATGTGAGTCAACACACCTTAGATGCAAAAGGTGTCCACTATATATATATATATATATATATATATATATATATATATATATATATATATATATATATATATATATATATATATATATATATATATATATATATATATATATATATATATATATATATATATATATATATATATATATAGCAAAATCAAAGAAGCATGGGAAACGTATTCTACTTGATGGAAATCAAATGCTTATTAAACCTGAGAGTTTGAACGGCAATAGCATTACTACGGAATTCAAGTGTTCATAACGGATCACATTTAAGGATCTCATTACTAGTATTAAGGATAGTTATTTTGAATTTGAATTCAACATCACAATCCTATCAACTATTACACTGTCCGGTAGGCGGCTCGTTTTTATTATTAAAACAAAAACCGGTTTAGTTCTAATAAACCATAGAATTATTGTTCAAAGAATTAGAGAGTCTCTAGACTTAAGACATTAATTTCATCACTTATAATTCGTTTGATCAAACGCACATATAAATGAAAAACTTAAAATGTCATATCATCTTATATGATACTTGAATAATGTTCCTTATCACAAAATGATTATAAATAATCGTATGAGACTGTTTATCCTCTACTACAGAATAAATAACTTCATTGTTTAATACATCACTTTACATTCTTTACAACTATGGATTCTAATTTAAATCCAAATATGTAAGTACGTCATTCTTTGATGTATTATCAGCCTCCTCTCCATATTTAATACAACTATATTTTAGGACACAATAATGTGACTAAAATAATATTTATATCATATTTCCAACAATTTATACATAATTGAGAATATTACAAATCATCTAAGTATGGCAAGAGAATATATCTAAATATGTCATGCTATTACACCCCCGTAGTCGAAGTAGGAGAAGCTCAGATGCTGAGACTATCACAAAAACGGTAGAAAAGTTGTCGAGGAAGGCCTTTAGTAAATATGTCTGCATATTGATACTCAGCAGGAATATGAAGAACCCGAATGTCTCCAAGCTGAATGAGCTCGCGAACAAAGTGTATATCAATTTCAACGTGCTTGGTGCGTTGATGTTGAACAGGGTTACTGGAGAGATCTACCGCACTAATGTTATCACAGTATACCATAGTAGCACGTCGAAGTGGCACATGAAGTCCAAGGAGGAGATTTCGCAGCCAACGTGACTCAACAACATCATTAGCAACTCCTCTATATTCAGCCTCTGCACTGGAGCGGGAAACAGTTGGCTGTTTCTTCACATCCCGTAGTCGATTTCATATTAAAGATCAAATTTTTTGAAACTATGTATTTTAATATATTTTTATAAAGATAGGATTACAAATAAAAATTGGAATTTTATTTTGTATGGACTCCATCTCTTCTCTCACTCAGACACTCTAGTCAATCCACCCTCCTAATTTTCCACCCAAGGGTTCCACCAACCAACCATAACACCCTACTCACCTTTTTGGCTTGACATGTAGGCATGTCAATGAGTCGGGTCTGGGTCGGAACGTAGTGTTCCAGACCCAGACCCGCTAAGTTAATAATGGACCGGACCCGATCCGTTTATCCGGCGAGTCTGAAAATTTGGACCAGGACCCAGACCCAATGGGTCTCGGAATTGGGTCGGGTAGACTCGCCCGCCAAGTATGATACGCACAGTCACACACCATTATAAACTTTGTGAGAATAAAAAGACATGTATGTGAAATATAAAACAAAGTATAGTACTGTACAAATTTAAAAGCAAAATATATCTTCACTTTTCAAAAAAAATAAAGGTCTCTCATAGAAAATTGGTATTTTTATCTAATAAATTATCGGTTCTTGTACAGGCATATAGCTCCACACTCTGCGTCGCTTTCTCTCGCACAAAAAGCTCATAGAATAAACTAGAAATTAAGTCATAAAAGGTCTCTTGGACTACTAAGAGTATAAAATTATACGGAGTATGTAGTATTATATATGATAATGATATAATAATATTAATAATAATAGTAATAAATATTGTGTTTTTCCTACCGAGCCCAATACACACTTTATCAATATGTATTTACGGTCAAAATGGGCATTATTTAAAGTGTTATAACTAATCACTATGTATTAGTGTATGTGTAAATAAATAAGAAATTTTAAACGGATCCGGTCCTTAACGGATCAGAATCATATGTACCATACCCGACCCGTTTAATTAAAATACTAACGGATCCGGATCCGGGTAAATGGAATAAAATATAGACCCGTACTCACTACCCATTAAAAACAACCGGGTTCATGTCAAGTCCGAGTCTAACCCAACCCATTGAGAGGCCTATTAACATGCACCATACTTAGAACGAAAACTTCAAATTTGGGGTATTCACTAGTGATGGACTCGGGCCGGGTGGCCCAACCCGGAACCGGCCCGGGACCGGTACTGTTTCGGCCCGGCCCGACCCGGTGGCCCGGTCAGTGACCGGTCCGGGTAGGCCCGGACCGTGGGTTTTCCGGTCCGGGCTTGGGTCACCCAAAACAAGGCCCGACCCGGCTGGGCACGGGCCAGGTTCAGGCCAAAACCTTTTTTTTTCAATTTTTTAAATTTTCGGGTTGGGCTGGGTATTTTGGGCCATTCGGGGTGATTTGGGGGGTTGGGGGTGGGAGGGGGGTTAATTAGGAAGTGGAAAACAAAAAAAAATGATAATGGGCTCGGACCGGACCCGGTGGTTACCCGGGCCGATCCCGGGTCCACCATTTCTGAACCGCCGGCCCGCCCGGGCCTAGGCCCGACCCGGACCCAGCCCGGACCCGAATCCATCCCTAGTATTCACCCCTCCCATTGCGGGTCCTATAACTAAAGACGCGTTTACTTCACGAGTTAGTAAACGATACTTATTAAGACTCGTGTTAAAAAGCGACGCAATAGGGTAAGCTCATGTTTACTTCAAAGGATTTAAAACACCGTTTAACATTAAAATGTCCAAAATAACCCTATAGAATTATACACACTTAAACATTCATAACACAAGTATATAATATAATATGTGGGGTCACCTCGTACGATTAGGGGTGGACTCGGGCCGATCATGAACCGAGGCCCGACCGGCCCAGGCCCAAACCGGAACCGGTCCATCCCTACGTTACTACGTACGCTTAGTCGCTTACCCACACCCCTAACCCCTACCTCTGTACCCCCAACCCTCACCCTACCCCCAATTCCACACCCCTTGACCCTCACCCCTTCCCTACCCCCTACCCTTACCACAACCTTACCCTCCACCCCTACTCCCACCCATACCAACTCCCCACCCTACTCATAAGGGTTGGGTTGAGGTAGGGGCAGGTGATATGGAGTAAAGGGGTAGGGGTCGGGGTATGGTAATGGGAGTGTGTGGGGTCGGGGTCGAGGTCGGGGTGGGGTGGGGGTAAGGGTGGGTCGAGGGTTGGGGTCGGCGTAAGGTAGGGTAGGACGGGTAGTGGGTAGCAATAGGGTAAGGGCAAGGGGTAAAAGTAAGGGTAAATTAGGAAAGTGAAAAAGCTTAAAGTGCCGCTTAATTAATACATAGGGTGGTATGCTTAGTAAGCGGCACTTTAAACACCTCTTTCGATTAGTAAGCAGCGTTTTAAGCAACTTGCATGCTTACTTCACCTGTCTTACTAACATAACTGTGACTTTAGCAGCGAAGTAAACGCCTCCTAAGACTTTGTTTTTTGGGATGGGGCGTATGGCCCTCTCTACCTCTACACTAGGGATGGACTCGGGCCGGGTGGCCCGACCCGGAACCGGCCCGGGACCGGTACTGTTCCGGCTTGGCCCGACCCGGTGGCCCGGTCAGTGACCGGTCCGGGTAGGCCCGGCCCGTGGGTTTTCCAGTCCGGGCTCGGGTCACCCAAAACAAGGCCCGACCCGGTCGGGCTCGGGCCCGGTTCGGGCCAAAAACTGTTTTTTTTTTCTTTTTTTTCAATTTTTTAAATTTTCGGGTTGGGCTGGGTATTTTGGGCCATTTGGGGTGGTTTGGGGGTGGGAGGGGGATTAATTAGGAAGAGGAAAACAAAAAAAAATATAATGGGCCCGGCCCGGCCCGGCCCGGACCCGGTGGTTACCCGGGCCGGTCCCGGGTCCACCATTTCTGACCCGCCGGCCCGCCCGGGCCTAGGCCCGACCCGGACCCGGCCCGGACCCGAGTCCATCCCTACTCTACGCCAGTACTACTGTCCGCCACTGTCCAAAAGCTAAAAATGGATAGTTGAAACTTGAAAATGTAGGTGACAACAAACAAGATGACAAAAAACATTTGATGACATCAGACGGTCTAAACAACTGAGAAAATCAGCTATTAACTACGGAGTCAAAGACAAACAAGGCATCCAACATATAAAAATTACTATATCATTGAATATTTTGGAAAAAGACAATCAAAAACTAAAACCATGCAGTGTATTATACATAATATTTGATAGCTAAATTCTGAAAAACCCAATAACAAGATAGTTAAGTAGGCAAAACCACACTGCATATATAGAAATAACCACACAACAAACTTCACAACACCCAACCACCACTCCTAACACTACACAGGCCACAGAAACTTTACAGATGAATGATTTAGATGTTCAGGTGCATAAACTGGTCAGCATGCACAGTAACATTGCACCCGCTACTCTATACAATATCCTTCGACCTCAAAAGTTGAATTAGTAATTAGATCTGAAAAAATAAAACATACCGAAATAATAATTTGTAGAGAAAGAGATTAATGCTGGATTTCTATTGGAGAGATTGCATACCTACATCTATCTATAATATTTCAAGCCTTCCATTTGTATCTAAGTGCCCATTCTCATTATTGCACTCGCCCTTAAAATCACTCTTCATTGGCAAAAGCAAAACCCCCTGCACAAGTAAAACAAAATTATTGGTAAAATCATACCAACAGAGAGGAAATACTTTGTACTAGTTCTATTGGGCCATTCAATTAGTTGATCAGGGTTTAACAGTAAGTCATTCCACCCCTAAAAGGATAATCATAATCAGAAAAGTATCAGAAGCTTATGTGTGTTGGGAAATGCTTCCTGTTTTATGAAATAAAAAGAATGTTTGAGAGATCAGTTCTTACATTTGTTTTACATATGATACATAATAAATAAAAAATTAAATGTTCCACGAATGGTGTCAAGAACATAGACAACTTCCCATAAACATTGGAAACATCAAATTCATATTTTCACAATTTCCAAAATTCTGTGTTATCAGAAAATTAAAACAAATACAATACGGTCAAACACTTTCTGACTCTATTGTTTCTACTTCCAAAAAGTGTACAAAAACATTCCCAAACGACAGATGAATTGCAACTATAGAGACATTTCCACTTTTCCCTAAGAAAATATGTCAGTGGTAGAAGTTCAAACAACACATCAGCAATTGCAACAAGATAACAGTACTCTGCTTAAAAAAAACTATTCATCGCCCAAGCATCGTAAAAAATTCATGACATTTTGCCAGATAATATGACAAAACTTAACTGAAAACTACTGCAACAAAGTTTATTGAGGTACAAGAAAAGACCAGATAAACAGGGTTTCATTTTAAAACAATACTTACCTGTTGTGTGTCCCCTGCAACTTGTTTGACATCGAGTGTAGTTACTTCTCGAACTGTAACCATTTTATCTACGAACACAGTGGTCTCCTCCTCCATGCAAACTGGGATTCTTTCAAATTCTATATCTGGATTTTCAGTATATGCTTCATCTGATTCTGTTTCCTGAGAGCTGGACATGTAAAGAAGAACATACATGAAGTTAATAATTTGAAGCATCAAATATTAACTTTTATCTCCAGTTCCTTTTTTAGTTCAAGTATGACAATGGAAAGTTACTACGGAAAATGACTACCAAGGCGTTATAACATCATGTGATTGAGATGCAAAATCATTATCCTCTCTTCTCCTCTTGTTGCTCTGTCCCCGATCAAGAATTGTATCAGCACATCTCTTAAGCCATGAGAAAGGGGTAGAAAGGGGAGAAGATGGATTTTCCAACTCTCCACCATTGTTAACGTGTCCGCTGACGCCAAAATCGTATTCATTTTGTTGTTTCAAAACTTTCTTCCTAGAAACTTTCGGTTCATCAGATTTCACACGAGAATGATGTTGTTTGGCGGGAATAAGGATACGGTCTGGAATCTCTTTAATTTCCTCTAATTTCATTAGACACTCAATCTGAGAAAGTATCTCCTCCCTGTCGGCATGAAGGAGTTCCCTTTGTTTCTCTAACTTCAGCCTTTGCACCTTGAGTTGTTCTATAGAATTATCTAGCTCCGCCCATTCTTTGTCCCTTTTCTCACGATCTGAGTTAATCACTTTTCTCTCTGCCTCAAGCCTTTGCAATTCAAGTTGAGCATATTCCATCTCCTTTAGAGCAATATCCCGCAAGGATGAGATGGACTCGAGCTCTTTCTTTTTTTCTTCCTCAAAGGCCTTCTCTCTACCCTTAAAGTCACTCTCAATCTCTTCACGCCTCTTCTCAACACAATTCTCCAGTTCCTTCTTCCTCATCTCAAAATCAAGCATGAAGTCTGACCGTTCTTGCTGGATCTTTTCGAACCATTCTTCACGTTCACGCTCAACTTCACGTCTAAACACTTCACGATCATGGGAAAGTGAGTCCAGATCATGTTTGTATTTCTCTTGGATAGCATTCTTCTCTGCTTTCAGAATATCTCGCTCTTCTTTAAGCAACATAGAAATGGCTAACCTCTCCTCAGCAATATGGTTTGCTTCCTTCTGCAGTTCAGCTCTTTTCTCGTCAATATACTCCCACTCCGTTTCAAACTTAGCTTTCTCAGCTTTCAGTTGCTCCGCCATGTCATCAAGTTCGGACTTCTGAGCCCTAATCAAATCAATCTCTTCTTTCAATCTCATTTCTAGACTTATGAGTTCTTTCGTTTCGCTTTTCATGGTCTCCACTTGCTCTTCCTCATGAATAATATATTCTTTTTTCCGCTCAAGTTCGTCCAAAGACCTTTGGAGATCATTCTTTATGCGCTCAACTTCTTTCTTATCATGCTGCATACAGGTCATCTGAGATTCTAATTCACTTTCAGAAACTGCAAGTTTTTTCTCTCTCTCAAACAGCAAATGTGACATCTCATCCATTTCCCTCTCTTTTTCTGCCAATCGTCTCAGCTGCATGTCGATGTCGTGTTCCTGGTCAGCAATCAGGTCTTCTCGCTGCTTGATATCCATTTCTTTCAACTCCCATACCCGCTTTTTGGCTTCTATTTCCTCTTCCACCAATTTGCATTTCATCTCTAACTCTGCCTCCAATGTGCATTTCTTTGTAACTAAAGCAGCTTCCTGATCAGCCATAACTTTTTTGGCACCGTCCTGCATAGTTCCATCATGAGTAAAGATAATATGAGGCTTGCAAATACTAACAAGTGTGACATTTCAAGAAGTCAAACACTTACAGACTCTCTACTTTCAAGCTTTCCCTGTAAAAGGAGTAGTGATTCCTCTTTCTGTTTGAGGTTACACTCTCTCTTAATAGCTTGCTGCAAACAATACTAACCACATTGAATAAAAAGAGACGTACAACACAATAAAAACGGAATGGCAGAGAGGAGGGTTATTCTGACCTCTTCTCTATTGGACAAAGATACTGCTTTTAGTTCCAGTTTGCGCCTTTCCTCAACTAGGGCTTTACGGTCACTTTCTATGTTTAACTTTGCATCCTCTAACTCTTTCTCAAACTTGCTCAATTCTTGAGATCCATTGAGGATGTGATCTTCTCTTTGGTTGAGCAACGCCTGCCCATCAAGTAAGCTTTGTTGTGACTGTTGTAGAACTTTTTTTCTTTCTAACAGTGATTGTCTCTCAAGGTCCATCTCCCTCTCTTTTGAGTCACAACTAAACAAGGAATATCCAAAAAGAAGAATTTCAAGGAAGTAATTCAATCAACTTTTTAAGAAAATCAGAAAAATGGAAGGAAGAAGATTGTGCAGTTTCTAGAAAGGATATGTGCAAAAATAAATGCATTCTAATAGATAATGGTCAAAAGCCTGGTAATCCTTTTATTGAACAAAAGAATTATGAAGTCATGGAATCATGCAATTATTAAAAAGGCGGTTGGTTCTGGACTTCTGGTAATATCATACTAAATCAGGTCTTTATATAGTTATATAAGGAACAACTTTGGTCATTCAAGAAAAAGGAACAACTTTGGCATTCAGGCAAAAGAGTGAAAAGATTAATACTGCCACCATCCTGGCTTAAGGTTCCCATTACAAAATGGCACACTTACACAACAATTAAATAACATAATTCGACAATATTTTGTGAAATAGTTTTGATGGGTATATACAATATTATTTTGAATATTTGATGAATAAATTATCACTTAAGAATGCTAATTATTTTCTGAAATAGAAATGAGAATCTTTAGTTGGGACATCCAAAACAGGAAAGTAAGAACCTTAATCTGGGATGAAGGGAACACCATTTAAAATAATCTTTATAATCCTCATATGCCCTTAAACATTAAATGTGCATTGATATTATAAAAATGACTTATAGTTCGCACCACCTTCATATGCCTTATGAATAACTGAATAGGATAGCAGGGAGAATTACTTAAAAGTGTAGTAAAGTTAATGTAATGCGCTACATCAGTTGGCTCAAATAAACAGATTACTACTGGCATGCTTGAATTTAGAAGTAATATTGAGGGCAATAGGATTACCTTCAATTTAAGAAGTTTTGTAGGATAACTTTACTAATACTTTACCTATTCCAATATTGTCCTTGCCAAAAGTGAATACATTGATATCAAAATCTGCAACAACCTCTCAGCGTAATCTCATATTTTCATAATCTTACATTCACTTATGGCCTGTATGGGTACTAAACTTACTATCTTACGGGTCCTTCGAAATTGTGCTATACTATCTAACATAATTCAGGTAATTTCACAATCCATGCACCAAATGATCCCAAAATGTATAATATGTAGAAGCTAGGAGAGCAGAAAAAAGTCGCGCCACAAAAGAGGATTCAACAACTAAATATTACGAAATCAGGATACAGAAGAATAACAAATTGAAGATTAAAGAAAAAACATACTCAGCCTTGAATGCTAATATTTGTCTTCTTAGGTCATCTTCACGGGCTTCAACTTCATTCAATTTTCTTTGTGCAGTGCTACGAAACCGTCTGGCTTCTGTTTCCAAAGATTCTGCCATGCACATCTTTGATTCTGCCTCTGTGTATTTCTTCTGAGCATCCTCCATCAAACGTCGAGCTTCGGCCAATTGAGTCTCTGCTGCAACTTTTGCCTCGGCATACTCAGTACGCATCTCATGTAACGCCTTCTCAATCTGAAAACCAAAACCCTCCATCAAAGGAAAACAATAGAAAATTTTGAGATAAGAAAATATAAATTGAAACATGATCTTACATTTGCAACACATTCTTTCTCAATTCCAAGAGCCCTTTTCAGATTCTCTTCTCGCTTCTTGGCCTCTGCCAAGTCTGTCATGCGTGCAGCCTGTTCTCGCTTATACAGTAACTGAGCTGAGTCAGATGTGGCCATCAATTGCTCGTATTTGGATTCCCATTGTTTCCTTTCCAGGATAAGCAATCCCATATGATGCTGATGGTCATAAAGCTATAGAAACATAACGCAATACAGCAATTTAGAGCCTAACCGAAACCAAATATAGAAACAAAAACTTCACATTAAGAAGGGTTTTTAAAGTTCCAAGATGTATCTTTTTATTTTTTTATGCACCGGAAACTGCTGAAAAGTTACAAGAAGATGAAATAACCAAGTATTTTATTTAATTCTGTATATAAAGCGCTATTTGCAAATACCAAATTTCAGGGCCATTCAAGTATTTAACCTCGCATACAAACATGAAAATCGCGTATTAGTATTTTGGGGATACAAAGTAAAGGGGAGTTGTGTTAATTATTTTTACACTCCGAATTTTCTATCCGAAATAACCAAGAAAATACTCAATCTCAGTACCCAAACCAGTCATGGATAATTACGCCGGGAGTAATATATTAATAAAATCAAGAAAAACCCAAAAACAAAAAATATCAAGAGAGCGGAGGAAGCGGACAAACCTCAGATTCTAATTTGGCAATATATGCAATGAGAGCAGCTTTATCCCGGCGCTTGATGGATTCTTCATCCAATCCGGCTTCACTAAGCTTCCTCCAAATTAATTCATCCGTAAGAGGCGAAGTGAGAGCCCTAGCTCGGACGGAAGAACCCGGTGCCGGAGTTACAGGTGCTCCCGGAGTCAAAGCTAATCTGTGTGGACTAGCCATCCTCTCTTAACACCAAATAAAAAGTCTCAGTGCGGCAGAAACTCTGAGCTCCACGTCTGCTTCTCTCTACTTCTTCTGGTTCACCTCTCTCTACGTATAATCGGCGTCTGCTGCTCTTTTCCCAGCCTGGTCGTGATTTTAGTTTTCTGATTTCGAATGCATATTTACGGTGCCTAATTGTACGACGGCGTTTCGGAAGAGGAAAGTGGCAACCCGGAAAATCAATCACATTCCTTAATTACTATTCCGTACTGTATTTGAATTTGAAATTTAAATTGCGATTATTATTAATATAGAAAGGAAATTAATCCTCAACTGGAAGTGTAATAACTACACTGCGAGTCAATTAATTAATTACGGTAAGTCGGTAAGTGAATTAATTATTAACTTAAATAGAAATTAATTGAGTTAATTCATTTCATTTATTACCACATTTTTTGGAGAAATTACCCTAAATAAGACTAAATGAGGTTTGAAATTCCAAAATAGGATTACTATATTTTTCTTCACGAAATAAGAGTTTTTACTGCCATGTATGAAAAATATTGCCATGATTGAAAAATACTGTCAATAATTATAATAAATACTGTCATGTTACAAACTTCATTCACTCCTATTTTGGGAAATCTCCCTTTTTTTGCAGGTATTTATTAGGACATTCGAAATGTAAAAATACTACTACATCCGTCTCATTTTAATGTCTAAATTATGCAATTAAAATTTTAAAAATAGCCAAATAGGCAGGTTTCAGTGTTTCACTAACCATTTTAATCTCAAATCTAAATGCAAAGAATTTGTATCAAATAAAAAGAAGTTTATTTGAGATTTGAGATTTGATGACTCCAAAATTGTCAACGGTGCAGCAGATTAAATAAAAAATGAGGTGACATTTTTATAAATAAGTGAAGGTTTTACCCATGTGCAAAAGTGCACTATTTGACCTTAGAAGTGTACTGCAACGAAGTAAAAATGAAATGTCTTATTTTTTACGTTTATCACCCTTTAATAGCAATTTGTTATAAATAAAGTGCAAAAACGAAAATATATGTCTCAACAAAGCAATTACATCTAAAATGCAGGAACCTAAAAGCATTTAGAATGGTGATTACATATCTTGAGAAAATATAGAGCTTGTATATGAGTTGCAGAGCATTATTAAATTTGCAATTTTGGTAGTGGATCTGAAAAATCTTTAATGAAAACTGAAAATGACACAATAAGAAAACATACATTGGAGTGCTCAACTGCATAGCTATAAAGATAAACAAAAATACTAGTATAATTTTTGTTGAGAATACTAGAGAAAGTTGGAAATGTGAAGCAGCGACTAGCCAATCAGTTAAAAATACCTGAATTGTAGAAGAAATTTGTCGAATAAATAGGTGTTTGGATCTGATTCTAAAAACAGAAATTAGAGTGTTTAGGTGATAGTGAAGAAGTACTTTTGATGCTCTAATTTATTACTAGAATCAGTTTTTCTAAACGTTGGGAAATCAACTTCTAGAAATTGATTCTGATCGTACTTCTACTTTAAAAAAGAAACAAAAGCATAATTTTCTAAACTCTTGTTAGACGAGATGGGAAGGTGAAAGAGAAGCCATGTTTCAACGAGGAGTCATCACGGCCTCACGGGGAGAGTTACAAGGCTTGGGTCACTAGAATGTCAAGTTGGGCCCCTTTGATGATCGGGCCAATCTTATCCCATGACAATAAAGTTTTGTATACATTTGTTGTACAGATTCAATGTGACATCTATTTATCAAAAATGAAAAGTTAACAATTTTTTATAAGTGTTATGAAATGGAAGAAAATAAGCAGAAGATCGGAGAGAAAATATAGTATGAAGACTTATGTTATTGAAAGTATTAGAGAGTGTGATAATAGTGTAATCAAGGTGTGTTAATTACAATGGAGAAGACTCCTATTTATAGGAGAAAAGCTAAGCTTATTAGGATTACAGGATAATTGTGAACCACACAATTATCATCTAGAATCATAATTATGATTTCCTAATTATTTATACAATGGTGATAATAATTCCTAATCAGGAATAGTTGGAAGATGACTTAATTCAATATATTTCAACACTCCCCCTTGAATGATCATCTTCTAATTATTCTGGGGTATTAGTATCATAGTATATAATGTACTGTCTCGTTAAAAACCTTTGTCAGGAAAAACCCAGTGGGATAAAAACCTGACGAAGGGAAAAAGAGTGCAGTGCATTATATTACTCCCCCTCAATTTAACATATATCTCGAAGACGACACATTCCAATTTTGTGGACCAGTTCTTCAAATTTCTTCGGTGCCAATGACTTTGTGAATAAATCAGCAGGGTTGTCGCAGAACTTGATTTGTTTGACATCAATTGTTCCTTCTTTCTCAAGATCATGTGTGGAGAAAAGTTTTGGTGCTATATGCTTTGTTCTATCCCCTTTGATGTAACCTCCTTTGATCTGAGCTATACATGCTGTGTTATCTTCATAAATCACAGTAGGATTACAAGTAAAAGATTTTATACCGCATTCATTTTGTATGTGCTGGATCATTGATCTCAACCAGACACATTCTCGACCTGCTTCATAAAGAGCAATTAATTCTGCATGATTTGATGATGTGGCAGTTAATGTTTGCTTCATCGATCTCCATGAGATAGCGGTATCACCATAGGTGAATACATATCCTGTTTGTGATTTTGCCTTTTGTGGATCAGACAAGTATCCTGCATCGGCATAGCCAATTAAAGTGACATTTGCACCATTCTTGAAATACAATCCAAGACCGATTGTACCATTGAGATAGCGGAATATATGTTTGACGTCATTCCAATGTCTTCTTGTCGGAGAAGAACTGTACCTGGCTAATAAATTTACAGGAAAAGCAATATATGGTCGTGTATTATTAGCCAAATACATTAACGCTCCAATAGCACTCAAATATGGTATTTCGGGACCAAGGATTTCTTCATCATCTTCACAAGGTCGAAAAGGATCATCATGCACATTGAGAGATCGAACCACCATCGGGGAATTGAGTGGGTGAGCTTTCTCCATGTAAAACCGCTTCAAAAGTTTCTAGGTATAATTTGATTGGTGGATAAAAATACCATTTCTCAAATGTTCAATTTGAATGCCGAGACAAAATTTTGTTCTTCCAAGGTCTTTCATTTCAAATTCTTTCATGAGATATTTAGCAGTATTTTCAATTTCATTGGGAGTTCCGATTATATTCAAATCATCAACATATACTGCAATTATGGCGAATCCTGATTCAGATCGCTGAATGAAACACATGGACTAATAGGATCATTTTTGTATCCTTCTTTAATCAAATATTCACTTAGACGGTTATACCACATGCGTCCAGATTGTTTTAATCCATATAATGACTTTTGCAATTTTATGGAAAATAAATCTTGAGATTTCGAGCTATAAGCATCATGTATTTTAAAGCCTCCAGGAATTCTCATATATATGTCTGTATCGAGTGAACCATATAAATATGTGGTCACTACATCCATTAGTCGCATTTGCAGCCTTTCAAAAACAGACATGCCAATTAAAAATCGTAAAGTAGTAGCATCAACTACTGGAGAATACGTCTCATCATAATCGATTCCTGGCATTTGAGAAAAACCTTGGGCAACAAGTCGGGCTTTATATCTAACGATTTCATTCTTCTCATTGCGTTTACGCACAAACACCCATTTAAAACCTACAGGTTTTACGCCTTTTGGCGTGTGGACAATTGGTCCAAAAACATTACGCTTTTCTAGCGATTTTAGTTCTACCTGAATCGCTTCATTCCATTTTGGCCAATCGTTTATACGACGACATTCGTCAATAGATTTAGGCTCATTTTCATCGTGTTTATTCATTATATCAGTGGCGATGACATATGAAAATATATCGTTAACATCAATATCTTTTCTATTCCATTGCATTCCATTAGAAACGTAATTGATTGAAATTTCAAAATTATCAACGTTTCTATCTTTATCAGGAATATTTACCTCTTCAAAGGTGATTGGATCCTCTTTTGAGGTGTCCTTATTATTGATGTTATCTTCAATGCCGATATTATCATAATGTTTATTTTCTTCTTGAGAAGGTTGAACTTCTTTGACATCACAAATTACATCTTGCATTTTAAATTTTCTTGGTTTCAAATCTCTTGAACCAAGTGGTCTACCACGTTTTTTACGTACCATAGATTCATTAGCAAGAGTTCTTTCGCTAATCTCCGCAGGAATTTCTATTCGAGAAGGAGTATTCATAGCTGGAATATGTGACTTTGTCACTTTCTTTGAGTCTGTGAAAGCATCAGGCAATTGGTTTGCAACACTTTGTAAATGAATGATCTTTTGAATTTCTTGTTCACAAACATTTGTGCGAGAATCAAGAAAAGATAAATCTGTTGCATTCCAAGTAATATCTTTCGTACGTGGGTCAATTTCTTTATTATCTCCCCCTAAGGCTGGGAATAATGTTTCATCAAAATGACAGTCATCGAACCGTGCGGTGAATAAGTCACCAGTCATAGATTCTAGATAATTAATAATTGAGGGAGATTTAAAACTTACATAAATTCCCAGCCTTCTTTGAGGACCCATTTTAGTACGATAAGGTGGAGCAATTGGTACATACACAGAACAACCAAATATTTATATGTGTGATATATTTGGTTCTTTACCAGATATTAATTGCAATGGGGAAAATTTATGATATGCAGTTGGCCTGAGCCGAATTAAATTTGCAGCATGCATTATAACATATCCCCATGCAGATGATGGTAATCTGGATTTCATCAATAATGGTCTAGCAATTAATTGTAATCGCTTAATTAAGGATTCAGCAAGACCATTTTGTGTATGCACATGTGGAACTGGATGTTCCACATCAATCCCAATTGACATGCAATAGTCATTAAAAGATTGGGATGTAAATTCCCCTGCATTATCAAGTCGGATTTTCTTTATTGAAAAATCCGGAAATTGTGATCTCAAACGAATAATTTGAGCAAGGAGATTTGCAAATGCAAAATTTCTAGTCGATAAAAGACTGACGTGTGACCAACGTGTTGATGCATTAATGAGCACCATAAAGTATCGAAAGGGTCCACACGGAGGGGCAATTGGTCCACAAATATCTCCTTGAATTTTTTCTAAAAATGCAGGAGATTCAATTCC